CCAAAAGTGGATGTTTTTAATCTTATCTCTGCTCACAGGTGAGCTTTCAGGTTTGGTTTTTATCAAGAGAAATSAGAGGCCTCCCTACCTGGCCAAGCAATTCTACAGACAGAACATAAATTATAAAACTACTTCCAGACCACCAGCCAGACACAATCCAACCTTTCAGGGTACCAGGAAAGCAAGAGTATGAAATATTAAGAAACAGAATGACCCTCCAGGTAAGACAACAGGGCAGAAGGAACTCAAAAAACGATGTTTTCTGAAGGCACAACTCATATTTATTATACAAACAAAAGGTTTGTGTTCTTAAAACTTGTAACTTCCTCTCAGCAAGGCTTTTAAATACTCATCACATGATCTGCCAGACGTGATGTCCCCAAAAAAAGGCAAAATTCAGGCTGCCATGAGATAATTGACTTTGCTGGAAGAGGAGGAGTATCAGTGATAGGAACAGTGGGAAGAAAACATGACGCATTTAAGGCACATGAGGAAACACACGTGAATCATGTACAACTCAGCCTTTGCAGAACTCAGCCAAAATTTATCCAGAGGCGTGGAGGAAGAGGGGGAAAGGACACAGAAATACAGCCACAATGTGAAGCTGCAGCTCTTGGCTTAAAAAAATCTAACAGGGGATGTTTGGGGATTATTTCTAACCCCTGAAGAAACTCTACAAATCTGTCCAAAGCAGTTCTGCTTAAAGAAATCCCAATGGTGATGACAGTAGAAAAGCTAACTCCAAAATCAGAAAGTGGAGAGCTTGTTTTGCAGCTCAGCATTTTCCCCTCACTTACTCCCATTTGAAACAGTTTGAATCAGGCTCCGAGAGAAGTGAATTTGTAAATTTTTTGCAAATTTCTCAGAAAATTTTGAAGTTTACTGGAGAGGCAAGCAAAGTCTCCCACCACCATGAGATGGGACAAATGAGGGGACAGAGGGAACAAAGACACCTGAAAGGCAGGAAAGATGGATTCATTCAGATGGGGAGCTTAGTGGGAAAGACTGGAAAGGACATGGGTTGAACACTCAGAGGTAAGTCAATGAGCTTGGAAATTAGAAAGCTGATTGGAATCCTCTCCATATAAAATATGAAATTGTCAAATTTATCTCAATGTTTATCTGACAGGAAATTCAGTGTGTGTTCATCTGAAGCATATAACTCATGTCTGAGGYCTTAAGTTTGACAGCAACTTAAAAATATATACAACTGCAACAGCATGAAAATATAGAAAACTGAGCAAAATTTGAGGTCACACAGATTTGTTCAACACCTACACAGAGCCTGAAGTGACGACTGACACTTCAAGACCAGTTTATGTCCAGCTCATAGTATAAGCTCAACTTATGTCATTCAGATAGGTATTAGCTAGGGTACAAATGTTTTCCTTAACAAATAGAAATGGGCTGTTTATCTTTTGAAAATGCAAAACCCCAGAAGGGGCTGCTCAGCCACCCCTCAGCAGAACCCACCAGAGCTGTTCAAATACTATTTCGTGCAGTTTATATAAATATAGACTGTGATCAGCAATCAAATACCTGGTCTGAGGACAGCAACAGAAGTGACCCAGTATTTCATCACTCCTGACATTTTGAAGATTTTCTTCCAGAACTGCCTTTCCTTTAATTCTCACCCTACCTCTCTTCTTACCTTCATTCAGCAAGGAAAGGGGCAACAGCTTTAAAAAGTTAGAGAATGAAGAGAATTTGAAAAGTGTTTTATGCTCAGGCTGATTGACGGATGCTGCTCCATTCAGAACTACCGCCGTGATTATTGCCTATGAAAAGGATCCGTTAAGGGGCTCTCCCTCCCCTATTTGCTTGCTAAGTTGGTTTCATGATTATTCTGTGAGAAGGAAACAGTTCAGAGCAGACATGAACTCATTTGGATCGGTGCCCTGGAGCAAACGCAACTCAGTGGAAATCTTACGCATATGAGGTGCAGAAGGGAAAGGAGGCCAAATTTCAGGGGGTAAACGCTGCCTGTGAGCTGCATCACAACAGCAGCAGCASCAGACAGGAGCTGGGATTGCTCCCTGCTGCATCACAAAGCCCAAAATGCAGCAGCACCTTCGGAGGAATAACCTCGAATACCCAATGCAAACCTTGCAGGSAATTCTAATCCGCCTCTTTCTTGTACTTCCCAGCCAAAACCCTTTTTGGAAGTTTGGCTTTTCTGCGCTCCTGAAAAGCAGAAAAGGACTGCCAGGAATTCTCTTATCACCAGCTCTGTCRAGTGCTACATTTCAGTCAGGCCTGCATAACTAAATCAAACYGGGAAGGGGAGGAAGGGATCCAAGWGTAAACGCAGCCAGGCCAAGAAACCAACTGGCAGAAAGCAGGGACTCCATCTCCTAGAAGATAAACATTATAATTTGTGCATTAATTATAGCTCATTTACCTTCCTTATCCTGTGTTTCCACCTCCCAACTGGATTTTGAAGCAAAGGCCTGAGCCTTTACACAAACAAGCTAATGGATTCTAATGGCTCACACTGATGCAGTGTTATTTAATCACAGCATTTCATTTTTCCCTGCTGTATTCAGGGAAGGAAAAAACCCAAAAGCTGCATCCACATTCAGCTCTCTCATCCAAACACATCTTACTTCTGTTTTCAAATTCCATTATTTCCTTATAWGTAGTCAAATTTTCTTGCACCTTCATCTTAGAAGACTCTTTCCCTTTAAAGAAAAAAATACAACAGAAATGTAAGTATTTAATAGCATTTTAAGAAAGATATAGTAGAACACAGGATGTTGCACATCCTTTTTAAGGACTTTTCATCTTCAGCTTCCCAACTGTCCCCAAATCCCATTCCCATTCTACTGGTTGCATTCTTTTCCTTGATCTCRTTTATTAATTTCACTTTTTACTCCACACACTCCCACTTATTTGCCAGGACAATTCTTTCTCCGTGGGAGTGGACCAGGTACAGGCACCACTGCTCCTCCACACGAAAACAAAACTGTCTGTCCCATTTCTGCCCAGCACCTTTTGCCTATTTGGCCCCCCAGCACCACCCACTCAGCCTTGTCCCCTGCCCTTTCTCCYGTCACTGCAGAAGGTGAGGAAATGCTTTCTCACAGCATTTTCTCCTTCCCAGGTGCCACTCAGCCTGTTCTTCGGTATTATCAGGTGTGTCCCACGCAAGAGGCCTGGTTTTGATCTCACGCTTACAGGGAAGGGTATAAATTAAATAATTTATGCTGGCACTGCACCAATGCCACCCATTTCACTTCACATCACCTGTGTGCCCCACCCTACCTTACTCACATGATTTAATTCTTGGTTGGGCTTTTTTTTTTTTTTTTTTTTTTTTTTTTTTTTGCAACCTTTTTTTTTTGTTTGATCCTTCCATGGCACTCAGCAGTTTGTTCAATTCTCACTTGTCCCTGCCCCCTTTCCCCTCCATGTCTCCCCTTACCCCCCGGTACCTTCCTTTTCATCTCTCCCTCACCTTTTCTCTCTCTCCTGCTCCAAGACTTTCAACATCTTCTTGCATCTCTCACCATCAGCATAATTTATTTTCTTTCACTTGGCCCAAACTCTTGACAAAAAATGCCATGAATATTTAAAGAACAGGATGCTTAGCATGGCTAGGAAGTGCAGAGCAGGAAGTAACTCATATAAAACCTGCAGCTCTTTGAGAAAGGTGTCGTTTCCCATGAGGAATGACAAAGCACAAGGGTCAAACCTCACAGCACAACACCAGAGCACAGCCTGGCTTTTATCCATGCCGGGGTCACCGTGATCATCCACAGAACAAAAGGGTGAGAGACCAGAACACCTCACCTCTCCCTGAACAAATAAAGTACCACATTTGTTCCAGGTAAACGAAGGAAAATGAAAGCAGGTGAAGAAGCAAAAAAAGAGTCATTGCTGCCAAGTTGTTTCAATCAAAAATTCAAGTGGCAGCCATTCAATCCTCTCCTTGACTCCTTTCAATTGCACCAGCAGTGGCATTGTACAGATAATTATTCCTGTACATACTGTTTGTCCCAAGGCACTTAATGTCCCTCCTCCTTGCTTTTGCCACACTTGTCCATCTATCACAGCATGTAATGAATACAGAAACAACTGTGACATTTTCTTGATTTTCTGCTACATAATCTTAGAGAAATCTGTCAAATAAAACCTCCTGATTTCTGAACTTCTGAAATGTTGAACCTTCTCTGCAAGTCAACACGAAGCATTACCACAAATACTTAAATCACAATTTATTTTTCAAATTCAAAAATAACAATTAGCTTTATTTACCATGTTACACATCTCAGATTTAAAATATCATGCTCTATTTAAATATCCGAGTGACGACACTATACAAATAAAATGTTACACAAAATATATTTAAGAAAATGTTTTGGTCTTCAATCTGAACAATAAATAGACAGGCACTTCTACATATACAAAGAAAGCAACCACTATTTAGAGTAATTCTTATAAGCAAGATGTGGAAATACAGAAGATCTGAGTTTCGAGAACGTGTGTAACTCTACATGAGGCTTCATGCAAACTCCAAAGTTTGGCTGGACACTCGAAACTCTTGGGATCTGCACAATTCCAGATTCACCGCCGCTTTACAGGAGAGATCCAAACCGTGCTCTCAGAAGCAATGTGCAATTTCAGTCATTTCCATCAAATCGAGCTACCTGATCACCTTTAGTGCCCAAACAGAAAACAAGGATTGACCRGAGTAGCTTTCCACAAGAATACCATGAGCAATAATTCAGCTTCACTACYGAGGCCTGAGGCAGGGGCAGCCCAGCCTGCCCAGCCCCAAAACAAAACCTTTTCTTCTTTTTCCTTATACATTGAGTTCTTAGGGGGCATCTCAAGCAGAATTAAGCTTTTTTTTTTTTTTTTTGTAAAAAAAAAAGCTTTATCTAATAAAAGGGTAAATCCTTCAGACACAGATACACTTTGCACAAAGGATCATAAGTAAAGGAAAAAAAAACACTGTTCTTGGGTGCAAAAGGACTGAAAACTATAGTTTTTTTAAAAAAAAAACAAAACCTCAAAATTTAAAGTCTCATAAGCGTATCATATCTAAAAGTAAAACTACATTCCTCCAATTTGTGTATTTTCAATTTACAGTGGTTTCCACACATGAACACTACTCAAGGGAAAATTATCTTCCACCATCACGATTAATGAAAGATGCATTGTGGTAGGCAATCCCTGCTTCCAGCACAGTTCACCATTCACTGTCAGCTAGTTAYGTCCTCAGAGACTTTTTTTAAAATTAAAACCAATATTGAAACATAATGACCACCAGGACAGTGGAAAAGTCAGGACCAAGTCTTCAAGCCATCCCTTCAAATTTTAGGATTACTCTCATTTTCAGAAGTACAGGAAAAGGTTTACACAGAAAATTTAGCTATTAAACAGAGCTTCAGTGATCCAAACTTGKAAAGTTTTCTGGGCTTAAGACACTTATGCACATGATTTTAACAATTTAAATGTGGGTCTTGCAAGCGTGTCCAAATCCTAATCATTTCTTGGGGTTTTCTACTATGCACTAACATTAAGTTTGTGTAGGAGCAGATGTTATTTCTGTATTTCTCCTCGATATCAAAGGTTTTGAAGCCTTTGTGTTTTTCCGGAGCAAGCCCAAGCTTCTGAAGGCACATTCCAGTATAAACATCATCGATAGGGTAGAGGAGTACCTGGTCAGATGCATTATTCAGTCTCAGTGCCAGATCACCAGAGTACAGGAACCCGCCGCCTCCCGCGTACGGSGGGTACGAACCTTCATAAACGCTTTCTGGGATGTAGTACTTCAATTTTTTCTCTCTGTGAGGTCCAGCATCTTTGATCACATCACCTATAAACAAGTCTTTGGCTTTTTCCTTTGATAAGCTCTTCAAGTAATCCAGGATCTGATTGGTATTCACAAAAACATCATCATCACCCTTAAAAATAAACTGGACGTTTGCACAGCTGCTGCTGACCCACTTCAGAAACAGCACCTCTTTCAGAGTCAGGTTGAAGAAAGTGTCTCTGTAGTTCCAGAGGAGAATGTCTCGGTGGGTGTCGCTCTCAAATTTAATCATGTGTGAAAGATCAGGAAAATTATCCTCCGGTGGGGTCTGTCCAAGTAAGAAGACCCTTCTGACCGTCACATCCCCTGATTGGATTTCCCTGCCCCAGGATTCCCTAATTGCTTGTCTTCTATCAAAATGGGGTATAAGTGACTTAATAGCCAGCAGCAGGAAAGGTTTCTGTTCGCACTTGTTTGGCTGATCAATTAGCAACGAGTAATTTCTACACCTCAAATAGAGGAGGAAGTCTTTGAATCTGTCTGGCAAGTTTGCAAAGTCGCTAACCTCCGAGTGCACCGAGGGGTCAGGCTCACAGGAACTGAGAGCACTCAGGTTAAAAATCAAGTTCTCCTCCACAGTCATATTGGAGAGCAAGGACAGGATGGGGTTGTAGAGCAGCTCAAGCTTCTGTTGCTGTTTGTTCCAATAAGCTTTGTGAGGAGTGTACTTCCTCCAGAATTTGCTACGGGGTATAACAACACGGCCTTTCGCATTCTTGTCTTGGCTGCCACTCTTCGAGACTTCCACGATCACATAAATACAAATGTTTACCATCATCAGAATTCCCAGCAGCTTTAATCTTCTGCGTCCAACACTCATTTCTCATATCTAGAAAAAAAAAAAAAATAGATTTTTAGCCTTCTTCACAGCAAGTTCTCGATCTCATAAAAAAACTACTTTCAAATGAAGGCTTTGCAARTTTGTAGCCTAAAAACCAAGGTTATCCACACCCCCAAAGAAGCAGAAGCTAATCTGTTTCTAATACAGACACATATGGTTTGGGGTTTCATCAGCAAGCTGGTACAAATGTGAAGTTTCCATTTGCAGCTTAGGGAAGTTATGCAGCTTTTCACGGTCAGGTTAAATTAGCCAGCAGTTTTTGCTTCTAATTTAGATCCCCTTTAAACACTTGACTGTACAATAATTAGACTGTGAGCCCTCAGCTTGGCAAAGGCAGGCTGAGAAACCTTTTTCTTCTGCTTGTAAGGTGAGCTGAAGGGTATAGAATAAATTGCTATACGATAAGGTCAGTTATTTTTAAATTAAGTTTCAAGCTTTTATACTTTCACTCTCACACCTTCTAACTATGTAACAGGCAGAGCCAAATTTTAAAGCACACAATCAATTTCTGACAATTTCACTTGGCTGCTCCTTGGAAGAAAGGCTGACAAAACTCDCCAGCTGCATTGCTGCTATTCAGATCTCGGCAGATGGAAGAGAACATGAACTGGGATTTTTTTCTTTTTTTCTTCAAATGCAAAAAGGGAAATGAATGATAATGAAAGTAGAAGTGAAGTTATTACCAGGAAGGGAAAAAACCCTGAAAAGAAATGAAAAATAGAGGTCTCCCACATATGCAAGATTGGGAACAGTATATGTACATCTGTGTTGTATGAAAAGTTCTGTGGCCTTTCAGTTTTTACCAAGGGAGAAAATGGATCACCAAGAGCTGGGTGCACAGAACAAGGAGCAACATGAACACAACGTGTTCCTCCAGAGCAGCTTATCAAACTGTTAACCAGCCCAGAAGTGTAACAATGTACAAGCTCTGCAAACAATTCACAATGAATGAGAAGGCTATAAAGTCTACCTTGAAGTCACAGACGGAACTCACTTCTCATGTGCCAGGAGCATAAATGATTATCGGAAGATCAGAAAAACCAAATGAAATACAAAATTTGTACTGACTGTTGAACRCCCAGCTGGAAGCACTGCCTCAGCCCTGAGGTCACAGAGCAGACAGGAAGGCAGAATGAGAAGTACACCTCGTACTTGCTGCTTTTTTCTTTTTTTCAGCCATCACCAGACACCTGATCGAGACTGACCCTTGGTCTCCTATGGATTGATCAGTCTTTGTTTTACTCCTCAACAAGTTAAACACTAAACCACTAAKAATTTAGTCAGAAAGCAGCAGGTACATAATTTGTAACAATTTTTCTCTTATTTGACCCATAATCATTATTAAATTCAAAAGGGCGTGTCCCTGTTCTCCCTCACCACCTGCAGATTTGTCTTTGTATGTGCTCAGGCCAGATCCAGTTTACTTAATATTCTATTCTCAGTCAGATAYGGAGTTTCTGTTCTAATTTTCAAGYAGYTTTCYTCTATACCTCAAAGACAAAAACCACACTCGTGGTCAATGCTATCAGTTAAGCTAAACAGCTGAACTGTTGAGAAAGCACTGCTTTGTCACACAGACTTCAAAGAAATTTTATCTTCCTCTTTCAACGGCCACTAAAACCAGATAAATGCGCTGGTTTTCTACATTTCCCTTTCAGCAGACACAAAAACGCTGGAGAAGGAGCTGTCCCCTGTTTTGTGCTGTTCCACGGAGCTCAGCATGCACATCAGGATTTATCAGCCCTGTCCTCTAGAGCACTTCTCACTGAAAAACAAATGATGTGGTGCCTGACCTATGATCCCGGGGCTCCAGAGGCCACAGGGTGACTGCTCCTTCTTAGGAACAGCCAACAAACCCGGGACTGTCCAAAGCTCAGCCCAAGCATTTCTCAGGATGTGCAGCACCACACAGCTCATCTGTCACAGSCCCCAGCTGACTGAGCTGGGAGTGTTCAACATCTCTGAGGCGTGTGGATACTTGACCTGAGACTCCTCKCAACACAATGAGACACCATTAGCAAAGACTCAATTTCAAACACTAAAAATCCTTCAACACACTATGACTGCCATCCTCTGCAGCAAACGAGACAGGGATCCTGAGCAGAAAAATCCACATTTACTATTAGAGTTGGCAGAAATTTTCAGCAGGAAAGGTACAAACCTGGACACATGTTGGACACCCAATTTTTCCACTTTATTCAAGCCTGACAGGAGCCATGGCCTTTCCCTGAGAACAGGAGTTAGACTGTATTTTCTAAGTGGGCCGAGTACCACGTCTACATTATGTGACTGCCAAACCCAAGCATTACAAGTCCATTTACTTACTGGGGCTGACAAAAGATAAGATAATCCCTCTTACCTGCGGGTATCACACCTACCACCCTCCTGGTTCAGGACTAAACTATCWGGAATCTGGCAAGGCCGAGCTGCAATTCAGGTATTAACAGACATAACCACCTTCCTCTCTTTGCAGAGGCTGTACCTGGTGCTCGGGCAGATTTGGATCTTCCCGTGTAAATTTAATTTAGGGCCTGATATCCCTCAGTAGGTGCAGCACCACTTGTGACAGCAACAGCACGTGCGGCAGTGCCACTACAGCTTCTGAAAATAACTGTTTTAGCTATTTAACACATCACAAAGCCATATGGAGGCCTCCCGAGCTCCTGTGAGATGCATCAGTTGTCTTAATAGCTCAGCCCTGTGCAGTGAGTCAAGAGATTTCTGCGTTGAGCAACRACACAGCTTTGGAACTGATGTTGAGAGCCCCAGGCTGTTGTAACGAGTCTGTGCTATTTCCAGCTTTAAAGGACTTGAACACTGTTTGTTTTYTAACTACACACAGCCAAATCTCTTTTCTCCTCCCTCAAATCCACTTTTACACAACAATAATTAAGAAAACCTTAAGAACAGGAAAATAGTGAACAGAYTTCAGTGCTGTCCTTCTGCAGGACCATGTCACAATGGTTAGCACTGGAAATATCAACGTTTTCTGTGTTCTTCAACCAGAACAGACAGCTTGAAACAATGCTCCAGTCCAAGGAAAGCAACCAGGATAACAATATGCACCCAAAAGCGCCCTGAAATTCACAGCAGTTGATGTTTATTTTAACACAAGTTTTAATTATTTGCATATACCTGCTTTGAGAGTCTTTCAGCATATTACTTAGCTCTGGGAGAAATTCTAATCTTCCAATGTTTTTAATACCAAAGGACACCAGTGAAATTCAGGCATGGGATTTCAAGATTCAAGCAAATATACCAAGAGTAGGGAAGGATGTGCATATATTTTCCTAAAACACAGCCCAAGGCATAAAGAACTATAAAAAGTTTGAATAAATGCCAAAGTAACTTCACATTCTGTCTCCTGCTAGTTATCTTCAGCACATTTTCAATTAAAAAAAAAAACAGAAAAAGAAAAAAAACCAAAACAACCAAACAAAAACACCCAAAAGCAATACCAAAAACTTCACCCATCCCACCAGAAAAAAAAGCCACATTGAACAGAACCAATGGGAGAGTGAGGCATTTCAGTAGTAATGCTCCCCTGTAATAAGGTTTTAGCGGGCCAGACTTGCATTTGAGCAATGCTYACTTATATAATTGAACCTAATCTCACTTTGTCCAACCCCCTTTTTTAATCTTTTTTGTATTTTCAACTTCTATTGAACTATCCTGGTTCCTGAACTTTTCCACACATCAAGAACTTGGAATAACTTGCTATTACCACACAAGAGAGGAACCCTCAGAAAATAGAAACACTAAAAAATAAATTGATATCGTTTTCTATATACATTTGCCAGACAAGGTGTACAATGAACTTTTGTTTGTCACTCCCTCCCTTTCTATCTGGTCATTTTTGATATGACAGTAACAAGAATGAAAATAAATAATTTAGTACTTCAAGCTCACAAATACGAGTTTGTGGTGAGTTCTTTTAGGGCTGTCTCAGTGTGGAGGTGCACACAGTTCTGCACAAACTGTGAAGTCATCGTGCACCCCACACAAAGGATGGCTGGGGAGTGAAAGAGCAAAGCAAGACTCCACTTGCAGGCTCTCTGACCTCATCCAAGCCACAACCACAACCAAGCAGAGGAAACAAGTTCCAGCAGGGTTGTTCTCCAGCATCAGCCCCAAGTGACCGCATTCCTGCACCGGGTCTCAGCAAGGAGTCAGCTTTCATTAGAGAAAGCCACCCTGCAGCCCTGGCAGCAGAGAGGCAGAGATCTTCGGCAAAGCGATGGATGCAGTCAGCCCTGCAGCWATCCCAGTGATATCCCAGGGATCTGCGAGCACCACATTGCAATTTCCCAGGCTGCTACCACCTGCATGGCAGAGGGTTTTGTTATGCAGTCCTG